TATGAAGCGGTTGTTTAGTGGTCAAAAGTATACCAGAAAACAGCCCGAAATAATCTCTCAGAAGTACAGAGGCTGGAATGCCTTTGTATTACAGAAGTAAGAGGTTTACTGACAGCTTCTATAGAAATCATTCTAAACCTCCCACCCTTTGACTTAGTCATAAAGGTGGGGCCAGAATGACTGCATGCAAACTGGATATCTCCAACAACTGGAAACCGACTGGGACATATAAAACATACCAAAATAAATGAGGTAAATGATTACATATTAAACATGGGATAATATTATATGACACCCTGCCTATCCTTCAACAGACTCTCCCAGATAAACTGCAACTGGAAAGAAGTAAATATGAAGGTAGAAAAATAGTTGCTTAGCGATCTCGTATGGTACACGGATGGATCCAAAACTAACAAGGAAACAGGCTCAGGCATAGATGGAGTTAAACCCAAATGCGACATTATCGTCTCACTTAGAAAACATACCACTGTATTGGAGGCGGAAATACATGCAATTGGGTTGTGTGTACCAGAGAATTTAAGAGAAAAATATAGAAAACAAACCATCTCAATTCTCTCACAGAGCCAAGCAGCCTTAAAAGCCCTAGGTTCAAACAGAATCAAGTCAAAGCTGGCCTGGAACTGCCTTGGAATACTAAATGATCTGCCAACTCACAATAAGGTAAAACAAAACTAGCATGGGTACTTGAACACAAAGTTATTCAAGGAAATGAAAAGGCGGATCAACTCGCCAAAGACCCGAACCTGTATTTGGGATTAGAAGAACTTCCGTTCAGCAGGCAGTGAGCAGGTAGGTAACCACAAAACACCAAACTCACTGGAAACCGATATTAGGGCAAATAATCAGTAAGATCTTGCTAAGGGAACTAAACCCACGCATGATTGCTGAGGTACTACAACTCGCAAGGCCTCAGATATCCACCATTGTGGGATTACTAACGGGAGAATGTTTGCTAAAAGACCATCATGGGATAACACAATGATCCCACTACCTGTGGACTTTGCATGGAAGAGGAAGAAACCTCATATCATGTAATATTTCTTGATAGACGGCCGACTCACCCTTTTCGGCCTAGAACCGGGAAAAACGCCCGAGGAACACTTGAAAGGGAAATTAGTAAAACGACCCGAAAGAACAGGACTATTCTAAAGATAGTACCTGAATACAGGTAAAGCAAAGGAATACAATAGACCCAAGAGGCCTCAGTCTTCTGAGTCAAAAAAATAACTCTACCTGCTTATAACCGACTAAAGACCACTGCAAATCGGTATGATTTTAGGAGTATTTTTATATTGTCTTCACTGTAATGTTTGTAGACGAGGTTTACCTATTTTTTTTTTGACATGAAATTGCATCTTTCTGGAGATAGAGTGTGGGCACCGGGCATTCTAGTGGTAACCGTACCGGCCACAGCCCCTCTATAGCTTCGCTAAGTAAGTTAACATCTTTTATGACTTATTTTCACCTTTTATTAATCAAAATATAGGTGGAAATCCGATTAAATATATAAAGGATATTTTTTTTTAAATAAATATTTATATTGTTATTTTTTTATAACCTTATAATTATAATTGTTAGTTGTTTATATCGTTTTATTTTAACTATTCAATTTATTATTATTTGCCAATTAATAAAATTACCTATTAAAATGGCAACAGTTTGATAACATATTTAATGTACAGTAAACTATAAATCAAAAGTACCTACAGGGATATTTTATAAATTATAAAATTTATTTTTAGTTTCTAAATAACATACACAGTAATTAATTTACGATCAGCTATAAAAACAATCACCATCCTTAGCTATTTATCCTATTTAAAAATGGTAGTGAGTTCAAACCCTTTTTACATTGTTGCAAGTACGTTTATACATGTCATTTTAGCCACTACTGATCGGTTTCCATGTTTGCGAATTTGTGTTATGTAAACTGTTTGGGATTAACACGGGCAGCATGTTTCGATAATTAAGCATGAAGGACAGCGAGCTGGTTACAGGATGCAGGATGCAGGATACAGAATAATGAAAGCCGTTTATCAATTCTACGATTCTACAAATAATCTAAATGGTAACCAGGTGGGGTAAATAAATAAAGTGTACTTTAATAAAAAACTAAGAAATGACAATATATTGACTCTGTATGCGTCTGTATCTAGGTGTACACCTTGCGATAAGTTAAACATGCACAACTTTTTGACACCTGTCATTAAAAAACTCTTGTAAACTTACTAATTTTATTATAAATTAATCTTAAATTATCATCTAACATGGCCTTGGTTGTTCAGAAGCTGAAAAGCTGCTGCTTTGACATGTAGGTGGAGTCTGGCTTCATGAGAGTCAGCAAATTCTTTGATTTCTTCTTTCCATTCAGTTCTCTATTTTCCAGCTAACTACAAAATTTCTAGTAGTTGGGAGTTTGATTACTTGTTTTTTCTTGGTACTAATCAACTGAATGGAGGGGAGTATCATCAGCAAAAGTAGCTACATGCATATATTCTACAGTTTGTAAGTCACTAGGCAGAGAAGGAATAAGATATGCCCAAGAACATTTTCTTTAAACATTTTAGCTCTTATTTCTTTTAAATTAGAATATTCGTTCTTCTGATTTGTTCTGAAAAGCCTGGCCGAATATGTTATAATAAACTAGACTACCTTATCTAGCAAATATAAGTATTAATAGAGAGTTATTGCAAATTTCTATAACGTCAGCCACTAATAGTGACAACGTAATTAGAGCCAAATAAATTCCATGCAAACCTGAAATTTTCACAGTAGAGTCCTTGTCCTTATACATATTTCTAACCCCATTTTAAAAATTTTAAATTACAGTTCCTATTTTTTGTTGTTTATAATAGTACATAATACGGAAGAGGCATTAGAAATTACCATTTTAAAAGTTGACAAGGGGGGTAGCCATGTGTGAGTTGAGGTAATTTTAAGGTGAAGGGGGAGAAAAAGTCCTTTATATCTCACAGGGAAAGTTAATGTTTAATTATTCAGTAAAACATTGAGTGCGACCGGTTTCGAAGTATCATCACTTCATCTTCAGTATCGCCTAGTGGAAAGGAGAATATGTGGTGTAAGGTGTGTTAACTTTGAGCCAACGATATATAAAATAGTAAAAAAAAAGGTTTAGATGACGATGATATTAAATATTTATTATTAAAAAACTTCGAAGTGATACGAATGTTGGCGATCGCACCCTAGAAACTATAAAGTCGCTACTAACTGCTGTCTTTAAACATCCACAATTAAGGACAGGCACAATCTTTATTAAAGTCAGTTCTAGAATGTAAGTGACCTGCGCATGCTTAGATGTCAAAATAAGAGCGGCATTTATAGTGACTGACCTTAAGTGAACTTGCAATAACTCTTTAATTATGTATGTTTGTTGACAGAGTTGTCACTTATGTCATTAATCATTGTTATATTTTTATATAATAAAGTTTTTTGCATGGAGTTCTGCCTTATATTAGTTAATCTTTTGCATAACTCTCAAAAATCGCTGAGCCAAATCTTCATCCCATAACTTGTCAAAAGCTTGGACAACTTCTAAAACTACCACCGAAAGACCTGTTTTCCTTTAATAGTGGAATGTTTCTATCGAAACCAAAATTAAAAATCATGGTTCAATTTTTCATCTTTATCTTTTTAGCAGTAATTTTTCGTATTAAATAATTCTTTCAGTTTTCGTAATACTCAATTTTTCTATATTCTGCTTAATGATGGTCCAAAAGTGCCGAAAGTAGTCGCCTTCTACGAAACAACATAATAAAAGTATGTAATAAATTGGTAAATGAGGAAGTGTGGGGTAGACCTCTGTCCAATAAATGAAATGAATGTGGACGATGATGACAGCAAGATGTTCAGATTTTCAATGAGATATATTTTTAATTGAAGGGTATCCTGTATGGATGATATATATCATTGTACCTAATACTTCAAACGTACAATTATTGGTACTGGCGGTTGATAGTAGATTTCAAATTTGTTAATGATTGGCAGGGATTAATTAGAAACATCAAATGATAGTGTCTGTTATGTAATTGTAGGGCTTACCGGAGTGTTTTAAAATAGACTACACAATGATAGTTGTTTATGGTTAACATTTTTAACTCTTGTAATAAATATGTTTTACAAACAAAAAATCTGATTATAATGTTTATAACGCTCTTAGTTTTAGCTGATTTTTTAAATAAATATTTATGACGATGATTTACTTTTATGACAGAAAGACAAACTTTTAGCAGTGCGGTCAGAGGTATAAAATTCGTTTCTGATGTAACGAACCAAAATACCATAAAATGTGTTTGGGACCGATTTATTCAATAAAATCATTTCCCCTATCTTTAAATGTAGTGATTACGAGGGAATTCTGTATTGAATGCGTCGCACCGCATTAGAAGTAATGAAATGAATTCATTCTCAGTAGAGTAGAAATTGTCCTTAAAATGTAATTCTTTTAGTGTATAACCATATAAGACCGCATAGATTATGTAAATAAATAGTATATTGTGCAACAAGTGCAGAAAGTAACCAATAAAACGATGTGTGAAACTTGTGGCACGAGCGAATGCTAGTGCCACAATCAGACAAGTGTGGAATATTTTTTTTTTCACAAGTGGAACACTTATTTTTCTACCACCACAATGACTAAAACCCAATATTATATATTATTAATTTGATGAACTTTATTAACGATTTAAAATTAGAAATATTAAGAGGTGGTAAATATATATTATTGTGGTGACTTTTTATATAAATTTAATAACAATTTTAAAATTTACAATTTATTCACTTATTTATTTTGTTATATATACCTATCTTACATTAGAAATTTGTATCGTACCTACCCAGTTGTTAGTTTTTCAATTTTTTATTAAACATCAAGTAAATTAACCATATTGTAAAAAATTTAAAAGACTTCGATATAGCTCCTTACATTAAGCCATTAAAATATTTTCTGAAAAGGAGTTTACCTTTTTTGTTTTGGCAT